GTATATATATACCGGTACTTTAATTTGTCATTTCTTTCCCAAATCTGCAACTCATCAACAGAGAGCTCTAAATTCAAGTCACTAATTCTTCATAACTGATGATAAATTTACTGGAACTGGAGATGAATGATTTAGTTTGTCTCAACGAGCAGCATCTGACACTAAATCAATTTAATTTTTATCATACCTACACAACCAGCTCCATTGGATCAACACATTTTTTTCATTAGTTTTTAAGAGCGCAGAAAGAAAACCAGATCAAAGAAGACGGTTTACATTTGTTTATGTGAGCCTGTGCTGAACAGACATCATCACCTGTGTTTTAGAGTCGGGACGCAGCCACGAGACGGTGCCGTTGCGTCTGAGTTCGGCCATCTTCGAGTTGAGTTTGTGGGCTAAGACGATGGTGAGAGGCATGCACTCCTCCGTCTCGTCTGTGGCGTAGCCGAACATCAGACCCTGCAGGAGTCGGAACGAGGCGGAAAACAAGCAAACTGAACATTGTTATGCTGATAATACACAGTTATATTTGTCCATGAAACCCAATGAATCCAATCAGTTACTTGGACTACAAGCATGTCTTAAAGACATAAAAACCTGGATGACCCTGAATTTTCTGCTTTTGAACACAGACAAGACTGAGGTTTTAGTTTTTGGACCTGAGAATTTTAAAAATACATTTTTCAGTCTTTTGCCCTCCTTGGATATAATTAATCTGTCCTCCAGCTCTAATGTTAAAAATCTTGGTGTTATTTTTGATCAGGACTTGTCTTTTATCCTCCACATTAAAAACGTTACTAGAACCGCCTTCTTCCACCTGTGTAATATCACTAAAATTAGAAACATCTTATCTAAAAATGATGCAGAAAAACCGGTTCATGCATTTATCACGTCTAGACTGGACTATTGCAATGGTTTATTATCTGGGTGTCCAAATATTTCTTTAAAACGTCTTCAGTTGATCCAAAGTGCTGCTGCCAGAGTCTTAGCTGGAGTTAGTTGGAGAGATCTCTCTCCAGTTTTAGCTTCTCTCCATTGGCTCCCTGTGAAGTTCAGAATTGAATTCAAAATCTTACTTCTAACCTACAAAGCTCTCAACAACCTAGCTCCATCTTATATACGAGATCTTATTGTTCCATATTTTCCTAACAGAGCACTTTGCTCTCAGCCTGCAGGCTTACTTGTGGTTCATAGAGTTTCCAAGAGCAGGATGGGAGGAAGGTATTTCAGTTATCAGGCTCCCCTCTTGTAGAACCAACTTCCAGTTTCTGTCCGTGAGGCTGACACATTGTCCAGTTTAAAGACTTGGTTTAAGATTTTCCTTTTTGATAAATCCTATAGTTAGTGTTGGCTTTGTTTCTTGACCTATCCCTTATCCTATGCTGCTATAGGCGTAGACTGCTTGAGGACAAATTGACTTCATTTCATCAAATGAATACTATCCATCCATCCATTATCTTTACCCGCTTATTCCATTTTGGGTCATGGGGGTCGCTGGTGCCCATGTCCAGCTATCACTGTGCGAGGGGCGGGGTACACCCTGGACGGGTCGCAAGTCCATCACAGGGCCACATAGAGACAAACGAGACAAACAACCATTCACTCTCTCACTCACACCTAGGGACAATTTTAGAGTTACCAATCAGCCTAACATGCATGTTTTTGGTCTGTGGGAGGAAACCGGAGTACCCAGAGAAAACCCACGCATGCACGGAGAGAACATGCAAAGTCCACCCAGAAAGGCCCCTGGACCGGGGTTTGAACCAAGGACCTGCTCGCTGAGAGGCAGCAGCTCTACCAGTTGCGCCACCGTGCTGCCCTCAAATGAATACCTGCAGTTACAAATGAATATACATGAATAGTTTGCATTTGTAATTATTTCTATCTTAATATGTGTTTTTTTTCCTCCTATAGAAGGACCTGCACACCTCCATTCTGGACCTGCCATTGTGTATTTGTTCCTCCTTTCTGTTCCTCTCGAACCCAGCCGGTCGGAGCAGATGACCACTTGTCCTGAGCCTGGTTCTGCTAAAGGTTTCTTCCTGTTACGAGGGTTTTTTTTTTCTTTCCACTGTCGCCTTTGTGTTAGCTCAGGATGGGAGACTGTGACGAAATGAAGACTCAGCGCAATCTGCTGGCTTCCTTCCTTCCTTCCTTCCTTAGATAGATAACTTTACTAATCGATTGTTATGTATATGAATGTTTTTATTCAGTGCTCTGAGATGACATGATGTGACTTGGCGTTATATAAATAAAGTGAATTGAATTGAATTGAACATCAATCAACAGCGAGAAGTGGTTTTCTAAATCCAAACGAAAAATATTACTTTAATCAAGTAGGTTTGTTTAGACAAAAATGAATTCTTGACAGCATGTATGGATTTATAGAACCTAAAATCTATAAAGATATGTTTGCAATGTTTGTAAAAGACCTCAAATTGATAAGCTTATCAGCTATGTTGTGATACTTAGAGGGGTTCAGCCACTAGATCTGCTCAGCTGGTCCAACCAGCAGCTGAAGCATGTTCTAACTGAAACTGAGCACAAATGCATTCGTTTCTGTCATATTTCTTCATTTCATGACTAATAAAAGGTACTCGGGATTTCTTTCAGCGATGAGCGTGCTTGTGTTTGTTGTTGACGTTTTTAAATCTTTATTTATTAGTGATTTTTGCATTTTATAATGTATTATTTACTGATTTTTACAAAGCTGTCTGGATGGCACGTTTAAAATGTCATTGTGTGGATGATGATGACAGTAAATGTTCGTGCGTTCATCATTCATTTTCTGTTACATCTATCTTTTAACAGTTTTGTTCACTTATGTAAAGTGAAGATATATACGCAAGTAAAAATCTGAATACTCTGACAACAGCCGAACTGAAGTTTGTCCAACATGGTGGCAGCGAGAATCATCAAGTCAAGCGACACGTTGTTCTGGTCCCAGTATTCTCACCTGGTCTCCCGCTCCAATGTCCTCCTCCCGTCTGTCAATATGGACGCCCTGAGCGATGTCCGGACTCTGCTGCTCCAGAGCCACCAGCACGTTGCACGTCTTATAGTCGAAACCTGCAAAAATAAATGAATGATCTCACAGCTGAAGACATATAAACTCAGTTTCCTGCTTCACATCTTTGTTTTCTCACCTTTGTCGGAGTTGTCATAGCCGATGTATTTAATGGTGTCCCTCACCACCCTCTGATAGTCCACATTGGCTCGAGATGTGATTTCACCACAGAGCAACACCATACCAGTCTTACACACCGTCTCTGTCAACACAATGAATAACTTTTAATAAAAACACTTTAAGAGAGATTTAGACCTGCCGTTTGGCAGCAGATGACATGTTTGTTGACATGAAGTCCAGAAAATAATCTGAGCCCTGCAGTCAAACCCACTGATCCACGATGCAGATGATGATGCTGAGATAAACATGTTTGAACATTTCTGTGTTTTCTGAAACGGATGGCTCACCACAGGCCACTTTAGCATCAGGATCCTGCTTCAGGTGTGCGTCCAGGACCGCATCACTGATCTGATCACAAATTTTATCTGTGGAGAAATAAAAAAAAATAATAAAAGATTTAACCTCAGAATAAAACGTGAAACTTAAAACTTATAGAGATGGGGGATTTCTACCCCAGTTTTATTCACAGGTGTAGTTTGAAGGAACACTTCACGGTTTATAATAACTTTATGAATATGTTTTGTGCAGAATTTGTGTTTACACATTAATATTTCAAACAGAAGGTGTTTTGCTGTGCGCAGTTTGAGTGCAGCACGAGTACAATGGCTCACCCCATCCCATGTTTTTGTCATCGGTCTGGAGCAACGCTGTGAACAGGTTGCATCAGAAACAACCTCAACATCTGGCTGAACGCACAGTTCCAGGACAAAATGTAACAGATGTTTATTTTTTTTTTCCATATTTACTCAAACTGATTCTGGCTTGGGTTTCTACCTGAACGTACCAAAAGACTGGCTGCTATCTGTGGGAACAGTCCAGACGTTGAGATGTGTTATCAAATTAGACAGTGCCTTTTTTCCTGCTGCTTTCCACCAAGGTTAAACACCTCTGAATGTGAAATAATGTTTGCATTAAAACCTGGCTTAACATACTGTTAGGATTTGACTCTTCTGGTTTTATCAAACAGAAACTGAGATAGAAGCACAGATTATAAAGAGTTATATTTCGTTAGAGCTGTGTAAGGGAACGCTGCGAGCTCAAAGTCATGTCATTATCTCTGATGCTTTACCATAGACGTGCATTTGCTGATTATCGATTCTGCACAGGGGACTTTGTCAGATTGTATATTTGTGAAGGGATTACAACACATGCACAGGGTTTAGCTGAGCGCAGCAGAGTAAAGGACACAGCAAAGTTTAACTTCTATCCTCGGGCTGGAAGTCGAAGCAGCTTTCCATGAACCGGCTCCTGCTCCAGCACGTCACTCCGTCCTCTCTTTTTTTTTTTTTTTTTTCTCAGAGTGAAACCTTACACCAGCACACCACCTCCTGCTTCACACAAGTGAAAGCTGCACACACATGTTGCAGTGAATGAAATTCCAAACATGGCTGATGAGTAACTCTTTTGAGCTATTTTAAACGTTAGGTTCGGCTTTCATTATGTCAATCCTTCTGCAAATGCATCTTTTTTATGATGTTAAACCATAAGGTTGATACTTTTCTGCTTTTAAAGTAAAAGTTCAACCATCTACCAAGTTGTGATGTTAAAGAAGTCTGATTTTATTGTTTGCACAGGTGGTTAAAGTCAAGCAAAGCCTCACCTGGGTGTCCCTCTCCCACGGATTCCGAGGTGAACATAAAAGAGCCGTCGTCCAGAAAATCACTCATTTTAGTCTGCGGGGCCGGACGCTCTGCAAGGTTCCTGAATCTCACACAGTCCGACGAGACCTGAAGGCACCTTTAAATTCCCACTGCTTCTCCTTCTCCACAGTAACAGTGAACTGGAAGCCAAAATCCCCGCAGCCAAGAGAAAGTCTGTCCAACAAAACTCCACGTCTGGCTCCACATGGCTCAATATATACGGCCAAGGACGCACACACACAAGCACGTGCGCGCGCACACACACGCATGTCATGTGAATCCATGGGACACTCCATTCCAGGGGGGAGTGGATGATGGGTGGGTAGTTCAGCTCGCAGAAGCAGCTTGTTAACCCTTTGTGAGCAACGTCATGGCAGAGTGTGTGTTACCTACTTCGGCTGATGTGATTCTTTCTGAGTGGAGGCAGGAATCTCTCAGTCCCTTCCCCTCCGCCTCGTCTCACCAGGGGACACCTCTGTCTGCTGGACCTGAGTCTAGTTGGGGTGACCTACAGAGCAGGGGTCACTAAAAACAAGCGCAAGGGTCAGCCTATGGTGCAAGAAATATATACAACAATAACAACAATAATAATAATATTGATAATTATTATAATGTGTGTTAATATACAGCATTTGTTGTTTATCAGCAAATGATTGGCATTTCACAGATGCTGCGACGAAGTAAGTCTTTGTTTATAGGCTTTTGAAAACAAGATTTTTTGAAACTACACATTCTGTCATTTTTAATTACCGGTAGTTACATGTGTGCAGTCCCTCGTTTATCGCGGGGGATCCATATCCTGAAAACCTGCGATAAGTGAAAAACTGCAAAGTAGGAATAGTAGTACAAGAAGTAAGTAGTCATTTATTTTAGTATATATATATATATATATATATATATATATATATATATATATATAT